CAGGGTAAACCCGTCATCTGAAGCTGTTATAAATGGGTGCCCTGGGGAACTAAAAAATTAACAGTTAAAGGAAAAAATAAGTATAACAGATCAACTATCAGAAAAATATAAAAACTATGTACAATGTCGATGGATAAAAACTAAGAATTATATAACTACGTAAATTAAGACTCTATTTGAAATAAAAGTTACACAGAAAAAGTTCCAGACCTTCTGAAGTTGTTTTAATAGTTTAGTAATCAAGAACATCCAAATAGTCAATAGGCAGATTTGTTTGAGAGAACTTAAGAATGAAGGAATATTGTTCAGGAAATCAGGTAATATTGTTCTCCTGGGAGTATTCAAAGGCAAAAAAACGCTATAAAAAGAATAAAATGCTACAGTTTTTCGCTGTTTTACAGTCTCTTGGAAATTATTTTCCATCCATGAAAACAGCAACAACAACAAAACAATGATAAATCATCGAGGACACATTGCTAAACTCTCTTCAGATAACCATTCATATTCCAAGTGGCGTTGTACCTGTGTGAGTTTAAAAAAAATACAAAGTAAGGTGGACGAAAGATAAACTACAACGACATAGATTGTGAATGGTTAACTAATCCAAGAGAATATGAAATCTGTTTATCGGGTCAAACGGTTTCAACATTAACTCATTTAATTAAGCTCACCGCTGCACGAATCTATACACAGTCAACTCTTTGATCTCTCTTACTGGACACTTCTATATAAGACGGACGCGTGGTGTTAATCCCTGCTTTTTTGTCGTCATTTTACTGCAACTGAACTCTCTATAAGACGGAAACCTCTCTAAAACGGACAACAGATACTTTGGAAACCGTCAAAGGACACTTGTGCTTTATGTAGTGAAGAATACCTTAAATTGGAAATGTAGGTGCTTGATAAGACCGTACCTAACTTACGATTTAAGGAAGCATACAAGTCGAAGTATGTGACTCCTATATTTATGGCGTTTTATTCAATACTGTTATAATGATTTCAGTTTCCAGCCAATCTTCTGTTATTAGAACCATAATTTTCGTTTTCAACCACAAACGCGTACCGGAGACACCACTCATAATGCATGGTGAGATCAGTTCTAAGCCGTTAACATTTGGTTGTAATAAGCTTTTGATTTTACTCTGATTGAGAAAATGATCCCCTATATAATCCAGACAGCTCTCTAAGACGGACAATCAAAGTTGATCCCGACCGTGCCCATTTTAGAGTGAGTTGAATAAAGTATAAATAGGGGAGTGCCCCCACAACCGTACGGTCCCGCACTCAACAAAGGTTAATTAGGTTATGCTCCGCCCCCAGGTTCAAACCCGTATCCTTTTAAATATACCTTCTTTGATAGAAAGGGTACATCTTTCGTATATCTTTCATTGACAACGAGGATCCCGCCCACATATCTACTTAAGAGTACTGCATCTCTTTTAACTGCTGTAGCTTGCTGGTCTTTTTATGTAAATAAATTGCGAAAAAAGTAAGTCTGTTTTCGTAATCTTCAGACAGCACCTGAGCTTAATGACGAACGGGACTTAATCCTGGGGCAGCATGTCGAACTCCCAAATATCTCTAAACACGCACAGCTCAAATACAGCGTCGCTTGCAGCATTTCTTAGGTAAAACAATTTCATTATACTGGGGGAAAAATGGGATTTAAGTAGGCCTGTTTGCTTCTACAAAAACCACACGAGCTTCCAGCGATTAGAAGGAAAACCACCTTCGCAGACAATTTTGTTTCTTACCCGAAGAAATCGGTGTATTTCTGATCAACAAGATATCTATCGGAACGACCAGTCAAAAATTTCCTGAGTTCATTCATCTTGCTTGGACCATACGCTTTATAACCGCGCTTCTTCACAAGACCTTGCCCTGCCCCAGGAGCCAGAGGATTCGAATCTTCAACACAGATATAGTCGCCAGGTTCAATGAACTTGTCCAAATACTCCAACACTCTAACCAAGTTCACGTGCGCGTCTTCCATCAAGAGCCAAGGATGATGCAAATTCTGTTAAATAATGTGACATCTTTGGAAAAACTATTGTTAACAATATAATCATCAAGGAAAGCAAATTTGGTCATTTTTTAAAATGTGCATACTGTGGTTCAATAGACCATTTTAGAGCTGCAGAAGGAAACGAAGCTCGAGTTGACCTCGTTTTGATGCAACCCTTTCCGCTTTATTATGTAACTCGTGTTGTTCTTAATCAAGTGCTAACTGGTATTTTTTAAGCATAATTTCCATAAGAAAACTGGAAAGAGGTTTGTATCAACGGAAGGTGAACCTCAGCCTCACGTTCACTCGAGGGCTAGGATACTAAGCTCACAACTGTAAAATAGTCTATAGTCTCCTTATTCCATTTTCTGGACATGATTATGTATGAACATGAATGTAAAACAAGGGGAATTATAATTTGATTTACCGTTTAGTAAGGATGTTATTTCACTGCAACATTTACATTCAAAATCAGATGACAAAAGAAAACGTCCCTTTTGATACGTTGAAATGATATAGACGAGGAATAATTCCAGCTTCAGACAGAATTTTAAATTATTGTTTTTCAACACTACAGAAGACGCCAAAATGTGGTAAAACAGCTGTGACACACTCGCCTGAAGCTCGTGTGTCACTTTTTTGGTTTTTACCACATTTTGAGGTCATCTGTGATCTATAACTGAAGAGACGCACGACAACATGATATCTATTTGTTAAACAGAAACAATTTACCAATTCTGTTAGAATTATCCTTGTTTCTCAGATTAGAAAAGCCGATTTTTCGTGGTAACTTAGGATGGCAACATTGGGGTCGATTGGCACTGTTTATAAGAACCCGTTTCTACAGTTAGCGTATCCACGAGTTAAAAACCAATCATGATTAGTTTAAAGTAGTACACATGGCAGAGCAAAAGATAGCGCACCGTTTCGTTAACTTAATTCCAGAAACGTGCTTGATAAAACTTTCTCTACTTGAAATGAGTCGCCTTGAATGAACTCCACATCTGAAGACTTGCGAACTTCAGCATCGAGTAAGGACAGGTCCATGTCAATAGATACAACTCGAGACTGACAACCGAACAGCTTTAACATGTCTGCTATCCATAAAGCGGAGCCTCCTTTATAGGCGCCAAACTCAATAACAGTTCGAGGCTTTAGTTCCCATAGCAACTGTTGGAGAATCGTTTGATCCAAGGGATCTTTCATTAGTGATACTCCACGCCAAAAGGTTTGATATTTTCCTTAAAAAATACGCGAAATTGATCAGTTTAAATGTGAAGCAGACTAAGGAAGGCAAGAAAGTTAAATCCTAGGCCCAAACGGTGTTTCTTAGAGATCAGCTACTTGAGGTCACAGTTAAAACGTGAACCTTATTGGTCAGCAAACACGTGATGACCAATGTAACTAAATTCGCATTTTCTTAAGTTTCTAGATCAAAATGAAAAATTTTTACGCTTAAACGGGTGATAAGAAATTTCGCTCAACTTAAACCGACCTACTTTATTTCTTCGACGAAATCTAAAAGAACATGGATGACAAAAAGATATCTGTGATCGTCCTTCTGGACATGTGTCTGAAGAATTGGCGAGTCCAACCTGCGTGTCAACCGTCTCAAATGCTTTGCTCAGAACTAAACAACTCCGCAGAAACATAGGTTTCTGAACTATGTTATTTTTTATTTTATTGTAATGGGCTATTGTAACGAATCAAACAAAGGGGAAAAAAATACAAAGACACTGGGTTAGCGAAATGAACCACATCAATGCTAAAAGATTAAATTAACTGCAAAAACCGTGGACGAAGATCCTGCTAGTTGTAAACGTTGAATAGATCTAATAAGCCAAAATATAATGAACCAAAACGAGAAGTCTAAAGACTACTGCAAAGCTGATTCAGAACAACGTGTATTGTTTTTTCATAACAATATTTCGGCTGGCCAAACCAGCCTTCTTCAGGTTTACAGATGTTACAGATGTTACATCAATGCTGCCTGATTTGCCTCACCTGACTAGACGGACCCTGAGCAACCGGAATCTTCGCCTCGCTGGGTTTCAAACGACGCTGTACTCTGTTGCCGAATTCTTAAAGCTAGTTTGGGGTCCCCCTGGTCCCCCCCCCCGCCCCCCTCCTCCCTTGAAAATGAATTCACAATTTGATGATTCTGAAATAATTTAGCGGCTGCTCGCTCTTTTAAAAGACACTACATATTTCTCAAGTAACCAGTTTATTTTTATAGACGTCAGCTGTACCTCAATGTCTGATAAGACCAGCTTCTGGCGACCTTTCAAATAAGATAACGTGTCCCAGATTTAGTCCGAAATCATTGTAGGAAGAGTGAAAATGGAAGAAATGTCAATAGAAACTGAAGGAAAAGTCAGATACAAATGAATGACAGACTGATAGATAAAGAAAGAAAACAGAAAAACAAATTAAGAAAAAGCAAGGGACGAAGCATAAAAGTTTGCATTTAAGGCAAATGATCAGTAAAAGAAATATTTCTGACTAATTTGCATTTGGACAGCCCGCAACGCATACATCCTCTACTAGTGAAGTTTTTGTCAAAGAACGTAACCCAAATATACATGGCATTTGTTCCCTTTTCATAAGGTATTACCATGACTTATTGTAGAAATGACATCAAGAGCTAAAACTCCAGTATCCTGCCTTTCTTCTATTGGGGCAAATCTGTCTCTAGTGCTTAATTCCGCTATAACCTCCGCTTCAAGTGTGTGGTAGTTTGTCGCTACCTTTGGATCAGCCTCCATAATAACCTGTAAGGATTACAATGAAAAACAACTCAAGTTAAGTAAAAAAATACGCCTACGCCTGTAGGAGCCGTAAGTGAAGTTGAGGTGGCTTGATACAGTTTTTTTGTAGCGACACCTTGAATTTGTTACACTAAACAAATTAAACTTTATTATGATACTATTTTTTGGGCCATAGTGGTAACGACGTCACAATAGTTTTAGCTCTAAACCAAATTTCAGCCCTAGCA